AAAAAAAAAAAAAAAAAAAAACGCTTTAAGAAAGTTTTTTTTTTTTTTTTTTTTCTAGGCACCCAGCCAGATAAGCGTCACTGATAGTATTCTGTTTTCTATAAACGTTCAGTTGTGAGTTCGCTTCTTCTCTGTCTACTCTTTATTTCCCGTTTATTCGGTGTTTCTCTTCCCAATCCATGCATTCTTAAACTCTGTGTCGCTCTAAATTCTAAAAATGTCAAAAACTGCGTGGCTTTATAAATTTATAGGCATCACTGGCCCATGCGTCGCCACAAAATAAAGAAAAGCCTCGCGAGGCACCGTCGTATATATATACATATATATATCTTGGGGCTAAGTAGGCTGTAGGCGTATTTTTATAATATATACCTTGACTTTATATGTTTTGGTACTAAACCCAGGTCTATAAACTATAACGTGAGTGGTGCAGAAGAAAGGGAAATTTACGGGCGTTAGTCGCAATTGTAACCGAGAGAAGCGGCGTTTATGCACGGACTTACCCGTACTCGTCGCCCACGGTATTCTAATGCACGCGGACCCCGTTTTTCGCCAATTCCAAACCAGTTTCGCGTCCGCTGTTTGGGGAGAGCTGAAATATACGGCTGCCTTACAGCGACTCCCGAGTCAACGGTCGGTTGGGGCACACGATGGGAAAGAATAACTTCCCTCAAAGGGAAATGCCATAAAATATCGCAACGTCCAGCGATTGTCCGTGTGCCTACATTATCAACGAACCTTCCCTTTAGCGCAAACAAAGGCATGAAACGCATTTCCCGTTTTATACCTTGTTCCGATGTATATGACGTCATTCGTTTCTCTTTCTGGGCAGTTCATGCATTAATCTGTATAGTTCTCGTAGTAACCCCCTATCAAAAGGGAGGGAAAGAATTGGAAAATAAATTAATAAACGCTTCGACATTTTAGATGTGTTTCTTTGTTATCGCGTATCGCTTGCAGTTTTCTTATTAAGCTCAAACAAATATGACAACACAAGAGAGAAAAAAACCAAACAAACATTGCCCTTCTGCGATCTATGGCAATGCGGTGTTTACAAACGAGTCCGCGTTCACCGACAGCAGAAAAATGGGGAGGGGCACAGTGGTTGGCTTAACTATGTTTTTTCTGACAGCGACCTTAGGTCGTTCTCAATGTTAGAGAGCAAAGCTATTGAATCTAGGTCAAAATCGAAAACCTATTCCCTGACCGACTATATTTCAAGTATCTAACGACTACTTCGCGAAGAATAAGCTTCATCTTCCTACCTTCGTTATTCAAAATTTCGGAGCTTGCGCTTGGGAGTCCCATAAAAACAAAAAGAAAAAAACAACAACAGACAAGCCTCCTCGAACAAACAGAATATAAAAACGCAATGCCACTACGCCCATGCAAGTATAATAAAGACCAGAAACCCGATTCACCGAAATTCTCGCACTAATCTACATAGCAGTCCGCGGACGCGCGTAACATCTCAAAAGGAGACGACAGGAGGCACTTTTATAAACTTTCCATAAACTGCACGCACATTGACTACGATTGTTGCCAGGCCAAGGAGGGGGAAGCTTTTTCGAAACAAACGTGGCAGCAGAAACCCCGCGGCTCTCTCCCCAAATCTTCCCATAGTTGCCTTTCCGAAAACAAGAACCTTTTAGGGAAAGAAACCCTCTTCTTCACCTTTCAAAAGAGCATTCGCGTGAACAGCGGATTTCGGGGATAAAAAAGAAAAGGTCTACTTTGCACAACAATGGCGCCGTCCTGCGCCGCCAGCAAACCGTTGGGACCCTGCCTCTCCCTTTTTCCATTCCCTACTCTCCCCCCCTCGCGCCGCGGTTCGCCACACCTTGCACTCGCTACTGCTTGTAGTGTTCCTGTACACACTCACGAAGCTAGTGTTGTTGTTTTACATATTGAACTTAAAAAAAGTACAAAGATACAAAAAAGAAGAATTAGAATCACTTTTGATGATGCGCTTGATTATGTTAAGATTTTCTTCGGTTTCCCACAGGAAACGCAAGCGACCGACGCAGCGTATTGCATGTTTTATGTAAAAAAATAGCGTAGAAGCAGAAAAGAATAAGCGGTGCAGGGAGGCTATTTGGCATAAATAGCCCGTTGAAGTGCTTAACTCACTTGCCGGTGTAGTCTCAGTAGCTTCGCCAATAGAGCTGTCAACTGCCGCTTATTTGGAATGCACCCGTATTCGGGTTAGGCAAGTTTATGAAAAATAATGGAAGGTCAAAAATATTTTTGCATTTTCAACGTTTTTCGGGGGTAATTCTTAGCGAACGCCTTTTTCCCACTCACAGCGTGTGTATGGCGAAATGCGACGTTTTCAGGTGGGATAGGAGCGAGACAACAGACCCTTTTCAAAAGTGCGGGTCATTTATAGTATACCTACCGCGTCAATTATTCGTGTCCGCCATTGTTTGGGCACGCAATGTGAGCATGGAAGCATTAGACGCGAGGGAAGGGTCCGTGTGCGGCGAGGAGTCGGATCCATTGGCAGCTGCGTACCGATGCATGATATTGGCTATGCCCTTTGTAACGGGCGGTAGCTTGCGCCACCTAGCGAAGACACGGCCCAGCCAGTGTTGCTTAATGAGGTTTGGGAAAAGGTTATACTGAATGAAAGTTACGAACTGTTTAAGCAGCGGCACCATTTCCACAACGATGTCTCGCCTTCCGAGCGTTGCCCATAATTGGGTGCACAGCGAGCACTGGTTGATTAGACCGGAGTCACTGGATGCAGAACACTTCCGCGTAGGTTGACGTCTGGTCGTATTGAAATCCATGCTCACTGGCTTAAAAGATGTGTTTTGGCATATACTGCTTCGCCGCGCTGAGGAACCTGCGATGAGGCGTTGTTCAAACCAGAAAACCAGGGAGCCCATGCTTTTAATAGGAACTCCATATTCATGGATCAAAAGCCTGTCAGCGCACAGTTCGAACAGTTTTTGGGGCAGAACCTGAACCGCCCTATCGTCTAAGACCTTAAATAGCACACACTGATTGCCTGTTTCTGTGTACCGCAAGGTAAGATCAATGATCGGAGCTGTGTCGCTGCACTAGCCGGGTCAAATTGCAACTCATTCACCAAAATCAAAGAAAAAAATCGGTAGATTTTTTTCTTTTTAGTTTTAATTGTACTTTTTTATGCTTCGGATTCCCAAATTTGAAGCACTGAGGTGGGCTTGGAATTTCTCCCCAAAAAAGGGGCAGCAGATTTGACAAATTCCACCATCAACCCGGCACATCGCGTTCCCGCCGGCATCAGCAACCAGAATTTCATCTATACCCGCCGAAGGCACCCTCAAGGGCTCATATTGTACTCAACACTCCGTAAAAAAGAAAACAAAAAACAAAAAAAACATGTGGTTCGAAATATTTTGTTCACTACGCCACTTTTTTTCGGTTCAACCAAATGCCGCCATTGAATCACATGCAAGATTTAGCTACAGTTATCTATTCGCCCCACCCTCGTGTCAAAATCAAGCCTTCGAGTTATTGGAAACGAATAAATAAATGCATAAATTGCTAGCGACCAATACCACTAAAATCTCGGAATGCATAAAATGCTCTATTTGAAGAACTTTAATTTCACTTTGTTTAGAATACATTAAACGGTCATTTTGGGGAGTAAAGACCACAGTGTTTCAACTTTGTAAAACCCGAGACGTAGGACAAAAGAAGAAGTTGTTCCTCCTTTTTACTTCTCCTTTTGTCCTACGTCTCGGGTCTTGCAATGCTTAAAGTTCACCAGCTTGCTTGCCTCCTCTCTGTAATTTCTACCTAGTGCTTGTCCACCTCCCCACTAAATATAGTATGAAACTTGTCAGGTCCCGTTCCACAGGTTCTCAAAAAATGCAGCGGAGAAATTGACGTCACGCAACGTAGTCACGTGATAGGGTGACCTCGCAGTGTCTCGTAATGCCATGCCGTTATGTGACGTCGATTTTTCCGCTAAATCTAGCGGGAAAATCCACGGACGTGTGAATGGATCAACGACTAGACTTCTGGAATCGGGAGTTTCCGTCAAAACGCGCCCACGCGCCGTTTCTAAATAACTTCCGTACACTATCGATGACCAGATGCAGCTGGTGACCGTCAGCCAATCCGATCCCTGTTCGATTTCGTGACGCACCGGGAGTTCGTCCCGAACGGACGCCACTGAAGCAGTTCTTGTCGATAATGGTAGGCAGGCACTCATTAGAAAAGATGCAGTCGGATGTTTTAGCTAACGTCCGCTGAGCACGAACTCAGTTGACGCTCCATGCCATTCGTCAAGCAACTGTCGGCCCTCTTCCGGGCCCACAAAACGCAGTTGGCACGTTCACGAAATATCTCAGTCCCGCGAGCACGTCGCATCGTCGGCACAAATTGAAAGCCCGCGGGGAGAAAACGACGGAAACCGTCCCAAAAACAGCAACAAAGCCAAGAGCCGTCGACAAACGAGCTCAGAGTCCCCCCTCCCAGAACCTCCCGGCTCGCGATCGTTTTAAGAAAAGTGATACGATAAATCAGAACCGTCGGACGGTAGCGAGAACAGCACACCCGGTTCCTAAGTCAGCATCGCAAATCAAAGATCTTCCCCTCTTTCACTTCCAACCTAAGTTCATTTGAGGCTCTTGGCGAAAGTCTTGGCGGGTAAGTGCTTCGCGCGATGAGGGAGAGTGGACAGAGGCAAAGCAACGCCAATGGTAAGGGGAGGGGTCGTACCCGGGTCCGTGAGTCCGCATGCATAATTGGCCGGGCAACACAAACAACGACTCCGGGCCGCGGCTGCGTTCCCGAAAAGTTGCTTTACTCCGTTTCCCTTTGCGATGGAGCGCGGTGGACGCTACGACCTGCCAATCCAGCGCAATGAAAAGGTCCCGCGACCGCGCAGAGGCGACCCCTCCAGAAGATCACGTGATGCTTACACGGCACGTGATTGGTGTCGGTGGCTTCTAGCGTCCTCTTCGGTCCACGACAAGGTGAAACGGAGTATAGGGGAACCTGAGTCGTCTCTGTGTTTGCGCTCGCAGACGCCCTTTTGCATGGAGCACGGAAGGAAGGAAGGAACCCCATGCAAACGGAACATGTTTCCGAGCTTGACGGCATATTTCTCAGTGGCTACGGCGGAGGGAGGGGGGGGGGGGGGTTATTCTACGGGGAACACAAGTAGTGTTTCAGGAACTTGACCGTTATTTGTGTCTATTCGGGACACTGGTAAGACGCGCTCCCGTGGTCTCCGCTTTCTAAACCCGTTCACAAATTTATGTGTCATTTTCGACGAGAGCAAGAGTCAGCGTGCACATCTCTAATCGGCGATCATGCGCGGGCCTCGGTACCTTGGACTGCAGGAATCACGCTTGAGCAACACAGATAGTGAGGGTATTTGTGCCCGAGTCTGTTAAAACGCCACAGTTTGGAGCACGTGCCAGCGAAAGCACACGCTTCAGAATCGAGGGATCCTAGGTCTGATCCCCACCCCCGGCAGTGGACCAAGCTCACTAGCCAGTTTCCTTACGTGCCGCTTTTGGCATTCATCGTGGGAACTGTAGAGTTTTTATGTCAGCAGTGTGGTAAGCTGGGCGCGTCGGTGTGATGTCATGGTGAACAGTACAGCGCACAAAAAGACAAGGACAGGGAAAATGAACATGTGCGACACACAAGCGCTGACTCGCAATTAAATTCCTGTTGTGTATACATTCAATTACGAGCCAGCGCGTGTATGTCGTGGACGTTCTATAGGGGGTATTCTCTGGACGCCATATTTGTGGGTGCTGTTCAGTGCGCATGCTCAGAACGAGCTCGCATCAATAGGCTGCTAAGATCGGGACTCTTGATGGTGCGGAATGCACGTTGCAAAAGAACTGTGGAAGCTCGCTGTCAGCACGCGCTCAGCATTCGCGCACACACCTATGGCCGCCAGTGAATACTTCCTATACCTTTGTTCTTGTCATTTTGTGCGCTGTTCTGCCCACCATCCTCCTATGTCAGGTCGTACAACGATGGTCGGGCTCATATTTGAACAAGAAAGCGTTAAGGAGCTCGTGTCGCAGAAAGGTCGGCGTCGGTGGCGTGACAGGAAAATCCAGGATTGGTCGATAGGGTCATGATGTCATAGCCGCATGACCTCGCGCGGGAATTTCAAACAACCTCCAACGCTCAGTTTTTCGCGCACTCTACGTCTTAACTTTGCTAATCCTCGAGCCACAACTTTTTCGTCAGCACCGCGCATTTTTCGCAAAACCAAAAATCGCTCTCAAAAAAGCAAATTCGAACCAGCCTATATATATTGGCTCACTTCATGGTTTACTCAAATAATTTTATTTGTTCACGCCACCATTGCGCTTCGCGAGACCCAAATATGGACACATGTGTTACACACATAACGCGTACCACAAGCATCGGAGTGATGATGATTAGGGTTTTAGTCGCGCATTGACAACGGAGGTCATATTGCGCCAAAGTAAGGGAGTAACGTATTCCATGAGCGCATGCACATACACATTACACATTGTCACGAATAAAAACACAAACTTGATAAATAAAGCTTAAGATGAACGTTTAATGCAGCGAACTTGTGCCGAAAAGCAGCGAATAAAAACCAATACTTTGTCGGAGACCAGGCATGTAGCCAGGATTTTGTTTCGGGGGGGGGGGGGGGGGGGGGCCGCCCACGACAAAATGCTGTATGAGGGGAAGGGGGGAGAGGAGGCCCCAGCAAAATGGAAGATTTCACTGGAGGCCCGGGCCCCATGGGCCACCCTGGCTTCGTGCCTGTCGGACACGCAAGGACGGCTCACTCAAGCGAAGCTCCTCTCGTAAGCGCGTGAATATATCTTGGAGTTTCCGAGCTCAAACAAACAACAAGATTCTTGAGTCATCTTGGACATTCCAGTCATGCAAACAAAAGAAAGATAAAAAGGGCCAGCGCTGGCGGGTATCAAACCCCAGCCAGCGGCGTGAGAGTCGACTACGCTGCTGACACAGCTCTTCGCACGTCGCATCAACACAAGAGCTCACTAACCCGACTAATACTTCCAAGTTCTGCGCTTCCGCTTTTTATACTCGTCGTTTTGAAGGTACGGATTTTCTGGATGAGCACCAAAGCAACAAAGAAAATATAAATACTATACACGCATGTTGATTTTTTTCTTCAGTAATGTCTTACATTCGAAAGTATGTTGAGCGTCTCAGGAGATGAATCACTTACTAAAAAGTACACGCTCATGCCGTTATTACTTGAAAGCCGAAAAAAACAAGCCGCTCCACTGCGGTTCCAAGCTACGCGTTTGCTTCCCCGTGCGCTACGTCGTAGCCATTTTTTTTTACCTAGTATTTGTTTTTTCTCCTTTGTCCTTCAATCGCTTTGTCATTGTCTCCTTTTTTGTTCCCTCTCTTCCCAGGCCCGGCCGACCTCCGAAGCGCGCATCCCTAGTGGGTCTCGGAGGGCGCTCGGGAGGCTATCCGCCCCTGCTCAAGCCAGGCGCGGAGATGGACTACGAAGCAGCGGTGAAGTCCGGTGAGCGGCCGACTCGACATGCATTCGCCTCCTGCAACGTTACTAAAACCCTCAGTTGGGAAACTCACCCCTGAAACCTGGGCCGCTGGCGTCCACCGATACCGAGCTAAATACGATAACAGCGCCACCCTTTAGCGGCGAGTTGAAACATGAAAGTTGCTTTACGTAGCTACTGCGAGATAACCCTGCGAGATGGCGCCAGCGGCCCTGGCCCGACTTGACGTACAGCCGTTCACAGAGGGAACGCTGCGGTAGAAATGGCGCGTTGCGTTCGCCATTCGCTCGGTTCTCGAGTACAGATCAGAGCCATTTTTTTTTAAAGCAGGCCCTATGGCAGTTTCCCAACTGAGTGGTTCTAGTAACGTTGTCCTCCTGGCACGTGTCCTGGCCTATAGCCGCACTTGCTGGTATACACGGACTTTCGTGTCTGTCAACAAAGAGGCAACAACATCCACTTTTTGGCAACCAAAGCAGGAATTTCTTTAAAATTTCCCAAGAAACGTCTTTTTCTTTTTTTACGGTGAAACAACTTAGTGAAAGGAAAATGAGATGAATGTGCCAAATAATCATTCCAGAAAACATGATATCGTATTAAAAGTTACACAATTTATACAAGTTTTTATATATTTATTAATTGGTTATTGGAAAGCAGCATCACAAGCGCGCGGAACGGCGTGCGCGACTGACAGTACTCTCTTCATCGCGATAGTTAAGAAAGAAAATCTGTTTTCAACATGGCTTTTATTTTCAAGAAATATTCGAAACAAAGTGTCACAGATGAGTGCAATGCGTAATTTGATCCTTAAAGTTCAGGGGGAATTTAAATTTGTGTATAATTTTTCTCCAATTCAGGGGTTCCGGCTACATTTGGCAAGAAAACGCTTTCCACTAAAATTTCTACGCCAACTTTGACGAAACCTCAGATTTTGTGCTATTCCGACTTTTTTTCCTCTTGCTTATATTTTTTTTCCAATCTTTGAAGGAAGACCAAGTACAAAGGGCAAAGTAACCTGACGAGACGCTGGTACCTTAAGAGTTCACGCAAGAACATAAATAGAGAGAGAGAGAAAAAAAAAATGCATTCAGCTGAAAGTTGTGAACTTAAACAAAATTATCGGCATTTTGCCGATAGCGTGGAGATATATAAATTGCAAGTAAGCAAAACAATAAAGCCGCGTACACAAGATACAGAAACGATTGAAGCCTATTCAACAAAAGCGATTGAACTCCTTGCTTCCGTTGACTGGCCAACGTGTGACACTAGTGCGTAAAGAAAGTATGATAACTAAAAACAATGTTTTCCGCTTAGGTGGGACGAGACTATGACATCCCTGACAGCTTTGAAACTACTGGGAGGCGTTCCCTCGATACTAGGGGCGCTCAAAAGGCTACTTTTCAGAGTGAGCACGCTTCAGTCATCTTGGTGCTTACAAACACGGTTGGCAGTTATCTGAAGTTTTCTCTGAAATCGCAGGAAAGCCCTTTCGTGTCTTCCAGAAATGTTGAAATAGCCCGCGACAACACAGAATGGTATCGCCCGGGCTTCCGAACACCGTGTATAAACTTCAGAATGTCTCATTAACAAAAACGATCACCAACTGTGCGCGCTCTGCGCTACCACAAAAAAAGGCGGTGCCCGTTAGAAAGTGAAAAAATATTGCACAATACGCAATATACTCGCGCTGGTCTTCAACACTGAGTTTTAATCTGCCTACCCGCCAGAGCGCGACTCAGAACGCGTTCCCGGCCGCTCGCCCGTCGCGCTCTTCCTCTTCTTCTGCGTATCAGCATTACAAACAGCGACGTAGACTTTCCATTTTCCCGGAAGGGGGGCGGGGTACGGCGCGTTAATTTTTCGCCAGACCTGGAGATTGAAGCTAACAAAAACACGCTGGAATTCCATTTCCCATGTATTTTGTCAATAAAGGCAACGTGCGCATTATTTTGTTAACATGCCGCTATTAGAAGCTCATTACATGGCACGTAAGCAGCGTCTCGGTAAGGATCATGGCCCGGGCCCCTCTGCCCCCCCCCCCCTTCCCGGATTTCACCAAAGGGGGGGGGGGGGGCACGAGCCCCGTTGCCCCCCCCCCCCCCCCCCCATAGTCTACGCCTATGATTACAAACACCTTTGAAACTCACCCTGACGAACCTAGGTGGGATCGGTGGCCGAGTGGGCTAGCGCACACCAGCTCAGAGCACGTGGAGCGAAAGCTCGCGCTGCAGAGCCCAGGGATTCTGGCTTCAATCCTCACCCAGTTCCATTTCGATCGGGATGAGCATCATACTGGCGTGCGGTCGTGTATCACTACTGCGTGGTGCGCGTTAACGACCCCAGGCTAGCGGTCGTACTGCACTGACTAATTTGCTTACATACGGTGGGTAACAATGTCGCCATGTTCTGACAGACTAAACTCCTGGTGTATAAACAACTAACGACTAATTTGTTTTGGTTTTTTCAGAACCTAAGAATGCCAAATTTAGTCATATAAAAAGTGCCCCCCTCACACCTCTGTGCAACCAGGGGTATTGAAACGTACAGAACGAGACACAAATCGGGATCTTCTGAAGAAACTATTTTGAATGCTATGCTTATTCTCATGCTTTGTCACGAATAACTCTTTGTTTCTTTTGTCCCATTAACTCGATACTGATTTCATAAGTTCGCACAAAAACGATACATTTGGCTTTATTTGGACAAAATGACTGGACGGTCGGTATGAACCTCTAAAAGGGAACTGTCCAGGCCAAAACGAGACCTCTGGTCACCATATGTATAAAGTGCAATGATAAATTATGACACCTTCCGATTCTGAAATGTGCGAGTCGAGACAGGCACCCGGACAAATTTCGCATCTTCGAGCTCACAGACGATCGGGGTACCAATGAAAGTTTCGAAGAATATTTGCCCTTGCGATTCATTGCTTATAAATAAGGCCCCTGCCATATTAAACTAAACTTCCAGAACTTACGAAAGGACCCGCTAACAATAGCCACAGCCTCCCAGTGGGAAATCCACAAACATCACACTCGCATTACCATCGCTGAGCAACGACCGCTTCTTTATGAACAAACTTCGATCCGTAAATCATTCTAGTGTATGAACAGTCAGGCACGCCGCCTTTCTCCAGAGAGATAAATGACAACCAAACCGCCATGAAATCATTAAAACAACAACACAAAAAAGATAGTGACACTTCGATTTTTTTTTCCTGGCAACAATGAAGCGAAACCAACAATCGAGTCGTCCAAGGATGCGACAGACTTTCCGGCCGTTAATACTTTCGGATTCACCCCACCGCAGTGTCGACCGCCTAACCGCAGTCCTGGGAGACGATCGGAACATTCAATCACTAAGAAAAAAAAAAGCACGAACATCCAGATCATAGATGTACTGCGAAGATTGACTAGTGTAAATTCACGTCGTTCATAGCATGATGTAGGATACGCGGGTAAAAAAAAAGAAAATAAAAGAATATGGTTAACGCTTACTAAGCCTCTTCCCCGAAAGAAACCGAAAGAACCCTTAACAAAGAAAAGGAAAACTGTAGTCAAACGAAAGTGGAGTCCTATATGCATGATAATAAAAAAAGGGGAGAGCTTTGGAAACCGCTGCGGCGGCATCTTGAATAGCGCGAATCTCATTGTGATAGAGCTGGGATGTGCACTGGATTACACGTTCCGAAGCTTCCTTATGCAGCGCCCCGTTGTGATCAGAGGTCGACGACAATACGATGCGCCGACGGTTTTCGAGCACGGTGAAGAAGCGTCCGGGTGGGTATCAGATATCGGTTAGCGCAGTCGGCGTTGGTAAGAAGCGCGAACAGTGTACGTTTTTTAATTGATGGTCTTGGCAGAGGGAGGGGAGATGAGAGACTCGGTGTTCCTCACAGCTTATATTTAAAACCAACGTCACACAACCAATAAATAATACAAAAGACGATCTGAAAGCTGCGTGTGAGGCGCATTTCTTGCTTGTATGGACACATTGGTCTCAAAAACTGTCCGCATACATGTTCAAATCCTGTGTGAAGCACACAGGCTTCGAGCATGCTTTTTGCGTGTTGCAGATCATGCTCTCACGACATCTGCAGGGTACATCGTACTTTTTGTATGATGCTTGTACATTGGGAGTCAGGACATCGTGTCGGTCGAGGAGAGTTTAGATGATACGCAGCCGGTTAGGTTCAGGATGAATTTAGGGAACCGGTACGAACTTGAGATTGGGCTAGTTGGTTGTTCATGTTCATGCCCATGTTCATGCGGGCCGTACCAGCTAGGTTGCATGTGGTACACATGACGAAGGATTGTGAATAAGTATACATGTATATCGATGAAAACATATCGAAGAAAGGAGGCAATACGGGAAGAGGTGCATTACCGATCACCATGTCCATCTGCGCAATATTGCACTAACTTGTACCTTCATTTAATTTGCTAAGGTGCACATTAGTCAACACGGCAACGTAATGTAAAAAAAGTCGAACCTTGCGAAAACTTAATAAAATGAAGTCCTTTCCCTTGACACAACTTGCGAAAACAGTAAACTAAAAAAAAAAAAGCTTTCTAAGCACTTTGAATTCAACTTGTCTTTATAACCTGAATAAGCCGATCTACTTATACTAAAATGAGCCGACAAATAATTGGCCAGAACGAAGCTTTGGAGCATTAAATACTTGACAAAACAGCTGGCACACCGCAAAATAAGACCCGATTGTAAGTTACTGTTGCTACAAAGACATACAAACGAACAAATAAACCTAACAAACGTCCGCAATGTGACGAATGCGTCCAACAGTGAGCCAAGGGCTATTACCACGCAAAGGAGCGTTGCTGCAACATTAAAACATTAAAAAAAAAAGATCAACAAAATAAATGGAAATTCTAAAGAAATGACACCATGTGTTATCCCACGTGCGACAGTCGTGCGGCGGATCCCACGCGGCAAACCCCGCACACATTAACGCACATATATCCCAACTCCGACAATGGACGGGAAGGAAAATGTGGCAGCAGTGGCGGCGGGTGGGAGAGAAAGGGAAGCGGGAATTGTAGTGCAACCGAACCCCGCGTGATCGCGATTCAAGCGGGACGATCCTGGTGTCCCGTGTCGTCCTATTCATCGTCCCCTCCCCATTTTTTCTATCCCTATTCGACTGAGTTATTGCTGCAAGCGCGTCCGTTTATCGTAAAAAAAAAAAAAAAAAAAAAAAAAAAAAAACAGACTTGTAACAATTTGTATTTCGAGCTTACCAGACATTTCCGGCCAGCTCTCGCTCTTTAAAAAAGCGAAGAAGTCTGTCATGTTTTGCCTAAATACAGTTTTTTTTTTAATTTCTAGCTTGTCCTGATATAAAGGACAGTTATATTTAGAATAATCTCAAATTAGGTCAACATACAACTGTTACTGTTAAAACTCCACAGCCATGTCAAATAAAGGCCGCAAGCAACCAGTTCTAAGCTCTGCATTCCGCTTCACCGGATACAATGGACATTAGATGACGCTATGAGTAGGGTTCCCGTGTTTTCGGGGTCTATTTTCTTCGGAATGCGGGGTTGTTTTTTCAGGGTTTATTTTCGCAATAGATTCGGTGTTTAATGGTATACATTTTTAATGTCGGACCAGAAATCAGTGTTTATCGGGTTTTCTGTCGCAGAACCAGGACATGGGCATGTAATTTCCCAACCTCCAGAAAACATCGTACTGCCAAGAATACTTGAAAAACGACCCAGTACCATTAAAAAGAATAATCGAGATAAGAGATATGGTTTCTGAAGATAATAGGAGCCTCACGAACAGTTAACTTTGGTTATGTTCGAGGTAAACACAAAATAAAGTTATAGTTTAAGCTTATTCGTGTTCACGCGAAGCTTGGGTTTTTTTTTTTTAGTGAAGAAGAGCTCCAATAGACCGATCTCACAGCCAGTTTCGTTGCGTCACTGCTGCCACCATGCACCGTGGGAACTGTAGTCTTCCTATGGAGAGTATTCGCTGGACGCCATAATTGTGGGTGTTGTTTAGAGCGCACGCTCAGAACGAGCTCACATCAATAGGCTGCTAAGACCGGCACTCTTGATGGTGCGGAATGCACGTGGCGAAACAACTGTGGAAGCTCGCCATCAGCACGCGCTCAGCATTCGCGCACACACCTATGGCCGCCAGTGAATACTCCCTATACGCGGTACAACGACACCGAGACTCTGCGTGAGCGGAGCACGAGGCAGCGCGAGTTGTCTCGCCAACTGGGACCTGCCTCCTATGAACTACATTTATGGCAGCCTCAGGCATGTATGAAACACTCAATGAGATCGGTGTATGTATTCCGGGGTCAAATTTCGGGGTTTGTCGGTATTTACTAAAAACCCAGAGCCCTAGCTATGAGCCATCAAAATCAAACCTCTTGCCGTTTGAGTATCACTTCACCTCCAGGAGGAGGGGCGTAGTGGCGTGATGCGTTCACAGCGGTATTTACACAATTCGAATATTTCCAAGTCCTCAGCTCAGCGTGCGATCTCCTCAGTCCAGCACGCGCATGTTTGTCGCTGATACCTATTGTCATCGGCTAGGAGTGTTTTTGTTCTCGCACCTTGGGATGCGACACTTGCCTCTCTTTTGTCTATCCTTCCTTATTTTGAAAATGATATGCTAAATACTTCGGAACTAGGGCCCAGCTTCAAAGAATTATCCAGTCATGTGTCTGTATTTTATCTTCTAGTGTAAAACTTCGCTACTTCATTTACGTTCTCGCTAGCGCAATACGAATTAAATGTATAAAACATTCTAGCGGGACTAAGAAACTGGAATTCGAGGATTTCTCGGATTATACAAAAACAGAATTGAACTCTTGATGATAGTAGGGGTAGTAAATCTACCTTAAAATGTCAGCGGCGAGAAATCCACTCATACACGGATCGTTTGAAACAATCAGACATGTCTTATATTTAAGAATATTTGTATAAACAGGTCAGCTATGACATAGGTCAACTAACGGATAAACGTTCCTATTTTGAATCATCAAATGAATGTATCACATTTAGTCTAGTAGACGTAACCGGCGTTAAAAATAGTTATAACTAAATGTTCTTCTGATTTCCCAATGGGTGAACGGCGTTTGGGAACTTCCGGTTCCTTAGGAAATTTTGTTCCACTGTTGACAAACGACAACAATGAGCTACAAGCCTGTGCAAGCATGGTTCTGAAACCGGCCGACTGTAGTTTCCACAACCCTGCTTAGACAGGCTTGAAGATTATCGTTGTCGTTTGTCAACAGCTAAACCAAATTTCCCAGGCAATCGGAAATTGTCAAATGACGCTCACCTATGACACAGACGGGTCCGTAACCCAGTGATGTATAAGAATAATAACCAAACAAACATGATGATGATGCCTTCAGAGATCATGATGGGAATCCACTAATTCAAACGCAAGTTGCGAATCAGATTCTATTGAAATCTGTGTAATTGATTTGAATAGGTTATATGGAATCCATCGAAATCAAAATGAATATTTACGACATATAGTGCATATATTGCCGGATATAATTTGTTCTATAGAGTACTTAAAATTTTTTGTTTGTTTGTTTGATATACTTCATTTCTAATCTTTCTATCACATTTACTGCTATTCGTGATTTGGTAGCATACTATTGTTTAATGGATACATACTTCCAGAATCTAAAGAAGACCCACCAACTCAGTGCTCTTCCTTCCAGTGACAACGCTGAGGACAGCTCTGTCATTTAATTTTGCTACCCCTATGTGTACGACCAGTGAAGTTTGAGACCTTAAAGGGCAGCTCCGATCGAAAACGAAACCAAAATAAATGACTGGTATCGCTTTAGTGGCACGAAATATGATCACAGCCGAAATATTACGTCAACGCGAGGCCACGCTCTCCATTAAAACCGATTTTAAAGATGCGACCAGCGGCCCTTTAACAGCCAATAAGCGAGATAACTTTTAGTCAAAGAACACTGGCGCAGCAGCCTCGTGCCGTCACGTCGCGACCATATGGCTGATGATCACTGTTGCCGTCTGTCTAGCAGATAGTTTCGGTTTTGCCATAGACGCCCGAAGCCAAACCATGAGCCATGATATTTATAAAACTACTTATAATGTCGAAAATAAAAACGATACTTTATAATTTAAGAACACTGCTTTAGCTGAAAGCAGTCGTAGTACCGAATTAAAAAAAAAAAATATTGACCGGAGTTGCCCTTCAAGGGAAGTCAGAGTCATGGATTGGGAGAGTTTGGCCATTCGTTGGTTCGAATAGGCGAGTATCTCGTGGCCAACCACACGCCGCAAAACAGGCCCTAGCGGTGGTCGTTAGCTTTAAAAATGCGACTCGACTACTTTAAGCCATTTTAGCGTAGCTAGGGTAGAAATGACTAACCCTTGGTGACTGATATCTCGGCAAATGTGAGGTGTTCGTCACGTCCATATTCATAAACGAATGTGCGCTTTATGCATACAAAAGGTAACTGCTTAGTTGCGATCATTGCTACTGCGAGATTGAACGCTTCTACTTCACGCTTTAAGCGTCCTTTTCAATATTGTGACGTCGAGGTCTGCTGATTGGTCGACGTAGTGACGCGCTTCTGGTTTACGCTCTGACCTCGGGGAGAAATATTCGGCGCTGGCGGTGGCCTTAGCTCCACCCTTTGGCCAAACTCTCGCAATATACGGCTCTAAGGGAAGTTGAGCAGACGCGACATCTATCGGCGAGCGCGCAGGCTATCCAATCCAATCAGGCCGTTGGCTATTACTAAACGTTTGGTATTTTCCTTCTCTTTTAGGTGCGGCTTTGCTTTCTTGCGATATTTACTTTTCGAATAAGTCAAGTCAGGCTTGCAAATTAGCATTGTGCCAATTTTATCCTATACATTATTCACCTCTGTATGGTACAGTCAAGACACAATGGGTGGGAATTTATGTTTAGGCCAAATAACTTGCCTTTTTTTTTTTGCTTTGCGCGCCAAATCAAGGCAGATGCCGCCACTTGCGCAACGACCACCTCCAAAGCACCTTCTTTATTAAAGAAAATATAGTAACAACTGTAGCCCAAAATCGGAAAGCCCGTGCGACTTACCTTCGTCGTGAAAATAGATGTCACGTGTACTGAAACACATAAAAATGAAAAGGTTGAACGAATTTACATTACCTTCGAAATTTCATATCGGATCCACATTCCCAACCATCCGGTCGTAAACCAAAGGAGGTCCTCACTTTCGTATCTGAAATCCAAAAAAAGTTTTCCCATTTCAAAAAAAAAAAAAAGCTTCTCTAAATATGCCCATTGTTCCTGCGCGTTGCTTTTCCTTCAGCATCACGCGTGTGGCCTACAGCCCGCTACTTTCTGTGCATGCTTCATCTGCAATGCAGAACGCCTGGAGGGGATCGGCATCTCCATAATGCTCACGGAAACGTAGTATGGAACCAAAGGGCTGTGTCTTTTTTTTTTCTTTTCTTTTTGTGTTTTTTTTTTCGTTTTTACAAGTTGAAGAGTTTCAGATTTCCAGCGAATCTCGACTTGCTGGCGCGCGAACGCGCGCACTCACCACCTAGACGCCATTTAAGATCGTTGAGTTTTCGCCAAACTTCTTGAGGCCTGATCCGGAAGATCGTTTTACGTACAGCTCACAAAATTGCTGAGTATAACTTTTTGTTTCTTCCATAACTGTATGCGTTCCATTGTTAAAAAAAAAAAAAAAAAAATCTTGTTTCTTATGTATATTTTATGCGATTGCGGCGCGGTGATGGATCGGTTGAAATAACTCCTTCGTCCTTTCTAACTTCTTGAGTTCTCGTTTCCGAAAACACGATTTTGTATGGGATGTAAAAAAGAAGCATGAAAAAAGAGATTCTTTGTATCTTTACGATTGTTTCTTTTATTTTTTTTTTGTGTTGTTGGATTGGCGTGTGAGTACATTTCTGTGTCGCTCGATTTTTTCCCTCTTTCCCTCTCTGCTTCGTCCTCAGAATATGTACGCTGTGACGAAGATGTCGATCTCAACATCCCTGCCATGTTATTCAAGATGTGGAACCAAGGTAAACGCTCACATTGGCAACCTCACCCTCAAAAAAAAAAAAAAATATATATATATATATATATAACAATAATATAGTGCAACAAAAATGTTTTATCATAGTTCAGGACTAAATGTTCTCCGGCTAGGTTGTTTCGTACGCCGTATATTCGTTTTGGGTTCCAAAACACGCCACCAAAATGTTTTCAGTTTTGCCTATTTTCGGTACGCATACTTTAGTTAATATGCGAATGCCCAGCAACAATTTCCTTAAACATGAGTCGTAAAGTGTGCTCTCGCTAAAAAATTGCATCTGCTTCCCAACCTCCATTCATGTCTGAACGACAAGTTAACGAAAATTTTAAAACCACCCGAAATTCCAAGATAACAGGATGAGCAAGACATCTCCCAGTCTGACGTGTCTAAAATACGACCGTATCACATTATTATTATTCGCTTGGAGCAACGAACGTATATGGTATTGTCTTACCCAATTATAGTTTTATCACAGGAATAAGTGCAGCAGCCCAATAGTCATAGACAGCTGAAATAACGCAGGGCGTAAAGTTATTATAATGTACGCTAGAGGTTCAACCGGCGCTAGTATCTATGCGACTTCCGGGACGCAAATTGAAGCGGACAGCAATTACTTTTGTGGTGCTCCTGTGCATTCCGTAGGGAAAAAGCGCGTGCATTTTGTCTCTTCGTCGGAAAATAACGTAGATAACTTTTGTTATATGGGTCGTATCGAATAGATTGTACTTTTAATAACATTGTAAAAGTGTAATAGATTTAGTAACGGCATTTTTTTTTACCCCTGAACGATGTTAAACTTCGCCGTATTTTAGGCCCAAACCACTGTTCCATAGCGGGTATGTAAAAACGAACGCGATCCCAAGCAAAATAACGAAAGTTATGCATATCCGTGTAAAATATAGGAAGCCATGGGGAATTGGAATTCCTGTTTTCTTACTAAGTTTATTTTTTATTAAATAAATTATCGCACAATTAGATTTAAACATTAGAGAGACGTGCGCCGGCAGAGTGAAACGTTTTCCGAAGATCGCCTATCCCCGTTCACCCTTAAGCTGAGACTAGAAGCTCAGCCTTCCGCACGAGCTTTCTGCCCATGCGAACACAAGTGCGTACGCGAAGGCACGCGCTACCAAAGCACGGCGGAAGCTAGCGTGCTCGGGCTGAAGGCGGAGCTTCTAATCTCAGCTTAAGGGGAACGGTGTATAAGCTCGGCGCCTGCGCGCTCGACGCTTCAGATATCTTTCGGTGGCCGATATAACTAGGCGAACCGGTCATGACATCGTCTACGAATGCCGCGACAAATAAGCAAAAGCAGTGTTTTATTTCTTTCTTTTTTTTTTAAAACTAGGGAAGTTCATCTGTTGATATTTGCACACTACGCTTGCACCACATGGTTGCACCTCTGTAGTAAATTGCAGCGCAATACACTAAAACATCGATTTTTGCTGGACGTCTAAATTGCCTTTGAAGCGTTAGTTTACATGGGGTATAGCCTATACTCATTTTCTGTGTAGTCGTCTTCACAATCTTGAATCAGAGAACTTCATTTATGAGGGACAATATTGTTTTGCCCGCAACTGGGGGGTGTTCACGTTTTTATATCGACTGTCAATTATTATTCTTTTGCCTCTCCTATTTCTTTCTTTAATGTCTTGCTTTTTATTTGCCCCCCCCCCCCCCCCCCCCCCCCCCCTCATCCCTTCCTCCAATGGATATGTGAACTATGTGGTCTGAGGACATGGTAAACGATAAAAAGGCCTATTGTAGGATGGCAATTCCCGTGTTGAAATTCCCCAACTGGCTCATGCACGGCGAATCAAACAAATGTTTTCTTAAACCGGGAAATCACCAGTATAGTAAGAAAAGTGGAAAAATGGACATAGTTGGCCCGCTCACTTCATCATGAAAAAGAAAAAAAAAAGAAAACGGAAAATAAATTCGAAACCAAAGTATGTCTTAAAAACAGCGATTCTTTATAAATAGGTTACACTTTTGCTACAGCAATAAAAAAACAAAAAGCTTGGTCACTGCTTAAATTTTTTTGCAGCAGCGACAATCTGCGTCTGTTATATATATTACTAAGCCCTTTGAAGTCCTTCACCAACACACACACAAACACATTAAATTTTAAAACACAAGTCAAACGTTCAGGCGTCTGACTCTACTCAGCGACGTTTTATTAACTAAGCGGCTTTCATTAGGGTACATTAATACGCCGCCAAGTTTTCTCAAGGAAGATCTCCGCCGCCATTAAGGCCTTCGTTTCCGCCCTATAAAAATCAGAGCATAATATCCGACGCCCCGCAAACATTGTTTCAAACTTTCCCCCAAACCAGATGAGCAACGTAAAAAAACAAAACAAAACAAAAAACACACAGACCACGTGCATTCAACAAAGACAATTTCCCGCAAAAACCCTAGCGTAAAACAAAGGGCGTGTAGCGGGAGAGAGGGGAAGAGAAAGAGAGAGAGAAGGCATTGATTCGAGTCGCTTCTTTATCTCGCCGCTCCACCCAGTTCGCTTTCCCGAGCATCAGTCAGCGCTATTAGCGGAATTATTGGACAAGAAAAACAGCAGAAAAACGCGAATGAGGCGGCCGATGGCGAGCGGCACAGGAAACGAACGATGACGGACAGCGCACGAGGGGCCGTAATAGAATTTTTATTACGCCGTCACATAAATATTCGCTGTCCTTTCTTTTCCCCGCGCTTTCTTTTTCCCGCGCTCTCTTTTCCCGCGCATTTCCTTATCTTGGAAGCGAGAAGAAACCGGGGAGGTGGGGGTGGTCTCCGAGTATCGAAATGGACATGATGAATTTTGCTTCTTCAGCCGCGGCCGCTGCAGCGTAGTGGCGCTGCCTACGTTGCGTGCCCATTAGCTAGCTGGCTGTAAGTGTTGAGTGTATTTTTTGTTTGTCTTTAAGAAAAGAACTTGTGTTTTTGTTTTGTGTTAGAGAAAGAGGTTTTAGCTCTTTAGAAAGGTCCCGATGTTTCTTAGAATGGCGTACATAAATTTCTAGAAGTTCCAGGCTAATTCGATTGGCTACGCGTTCGAGCGTGTTCTCCTTGCAGCTTCTAGAGTGGGCGTTGCTAAAATTAAAACTAGCTGAAAAATCACCCAATCCTTTTTGTCGATCCGCGTGCTATTATCATTTTTTTCTTTGCGTGGGGCGTGCGTGCGCACTCTATTGATTTTTCTTTTTCTTTTATGCTTTCTGCAGAAACCCATCTACATTGTACTTAGTTGTCAGGAGATAAGGCCTTCGATTATTTGGGTCAGATAATCACTTTTTTTTATAAGGTTCTTTTTGATAACAACGTAGTGGGGTGAGGAAATCTTTCTCCGAGATTGATGAGAATTGTTCGAAGCCAAATTTTGAGGATTATATCTCGTGATTTCGGGTCGTCTTTTTTTTTTTTTTTCGTTTTCTCACCGGGTACACCGAATCCGCCTTTTTATGTTTGATCAAATTTTTAAAACATGAAACGCCCCACTGTTTCCTGTCGGCAGTTTTGTTTCGAAAGCTTATGATAATCACAATTATTGACAGGCGCTTCTAAAATTTCCGGACATGTACATTCCCGGAGTTGTACATTTTACGTTTATACGTAATTCTTTCTTGCGTCGTCCTTTTTTGTTTTATTTGGAATTACACGCTAGTTTATGAGCATGTTATTCATAAACTGGCTACTAATTTCCGAATGTAATTATGATTCGTAAAGCTCAGACGGTAAACTGGATGTGTTATGGTTTGGTGCTTATTCTTAGCCAAGTACGTGTGATAAGAGGGACAAAAGTGCAAATGAAACACGCTGAAATTTTTTTTAAGCTCTCGCGCAGCCTTCCAATTATGGGTTTTACATTTTGTACAATTTCTGCCAATTTCTATTGGAATAATCTGGAACTCTTTTTATGGCTATATCTATAGAAATGCTAAACCATTTACTATAGTTTTGTAAATATCACAATAGGCTTAAAAGCACATTAATCAAGATAGTTGGGATAACACAGCTTCTTTATTTCCTAGCTAAGCGAACCAGCGAGGTGTATAAAGTGAAAAAAAAAAGGCAAATACAGACGTTAGAAAGCAAAAACGTTTTTCTTCAAAAGATCCCAGAAGAAATGTAATGAGACTGACTTTCAGATTTTGATGTTTTGATCACTACGGTGTTCCGCAGCGTTCCACGTACATGCCGAACAATTAGAAACGCTTCAAACAACACAGAATGAAAATGCCAACACAGATACTTAAATAATGTTAACATAATGTGTTAGTACACTAAAAAAAAAAGCCCGTGTGTCTACTTTCCCGCACAACACTCGGAGAGCCAATCAGCGCAGCTTACGGAGGCAGCTGAGCGAATAACGATGCCGAAGCATATGTTCAGACTAGAAAGCGTAGTCTGAGTTGTGACATTAAGCAATGCAAAACGTCACGCTTGCATTGCTTAATGTCACAACTCATACTACGTTTTCTGGTCTAATCATATGTTTCGGCATCGTCATTCGCTGAGCTGCCTCCGCAAGTTGCGCTGATTGGCTCTCCGAGTGTTTTGCGGAAAAGCATACGCACAGGCCTTTTTAGTGTGTATGCTGTAAAAAGTTGGGACACAACCTTTTAGCTTTATATTTTAAACAGTAAAGCTTTGAAAAAAAAAACAAACAAAGACAATAACCATTTTACTAAATTCCTACTTAATAAATATTCCCCTCACCTCACGGTTTGAGTGTTACATGACCTGTAGGTTTGTTGACATTTTAGCTCAATTTTTCTATCGTTTTCTTTGGACGTGTCTTGCAGGCGTCGTTTCCAAAAGCTAAAATTTACGTGCAAAAAAAAAAATAATAGTAAGGTCACCGGCTTATAATATAAAAACGGTTGTTTTCCTGCTTTGAATTTTTTTATGCAGGCAACGTTTTGATATTTATCTCTCGCATCATATCACCACCGCTCATCAACCACCGCTAGATTCACGTTCACCCGGAGTGTGAGTTTCTGCGAAGCGTAGTTTCTTTTTGCGGGCCGGAAAACAAAGTTTCATCTTCTCGATCGGACCCTGTGCTTTCTGTGCATCATTTTTTTTTTCTTTCTTATTTGCCGGAAGCAGCCGTTATCACGAGGCATCGAGGTGTTTCTTTCACAGTTATTTCTGCCAGCTTTCCTTCCTTTGTGCTTTGCCCGAACGATACGAAATATAACCATTCGAACACGACTTTTTAACGCAGACTTGCGTTCTAACGGTAGCTAAATCAGATTTCGCGGGCGTTGCTGTCGTGCCATGGCTCCTTCTAGGAGAGGGAAGAGTATGCACGAGTGGAGAGCAAAGGATTGCCGCAGTAGGGTAGTTTCACGTGACGTACTTCCGGTTTGAAGTCTCGCCGGACGCCATGTTGATGAACTTTCGCCCGATCTCTTTCCTATGCACGGAGGCAGTGTTCTCCAGCTCAATCATGTTCTTTAACGTCGCGATTGACTGCGTCTGCCGGAACAGTTGGCGACGCAGAGGAGCATCGTCTGGAACTCGATTTTTGTATGCGTATCATCCTTTATTTGGAGTGCAGACGAACCGGTGCTCGAGAGGTCGGCCCGTCAGTAGCCGAGTGACTTAAACCATAGCCTCCTATATCCTGACAAAGCCTGGCAGATCGTCACGAGAAGCGGCCGCCGAAATGGAAAAGGTGGAGGGGCAGACAACGGGTGAAAGAAGAGCCACGCGACTGGCGCCCCGCTGCGTCGAAACGCCGAAACATACTTCTCCCGAGGGAACAAGTGTGTTTCGGGTCCTCGCCGCTGCAAAAGTAGTGCGCTGACGTCCCGTCTCCACGAGATAGGGCTCTTTGATGCTCTGTGCTACCAGATCCTCGAGCTGCAAATCTACGACCGGGCACAGCTATAGACCTTTTCCACAAGGGCGCCGCCATCTTGAATTGACGTCACTTCCAGTATGGGCGAAAACACAACTTTGCCGTCGCCACGCCAATAGAAGACATTTAGGATAAAAGCCTAACCGTCACACATTCTCGATTTGGCTCCCCTCAATTTTTTTACTGGTTAGAGGTTGAAACGTTTTACTATTTTGTCGTCGCCCATACTGGAAGTGACGACAATTCAAGATGGCGGCGCCCTTGTGGAAAAGGTCTATAGCTCCGTCGTCGAACTGCCGGTCTTTGGGAGTAAAGAGGAGGCTAGGGTTGAAAGCACCGCAACTCCAAGTACGCGGAGCGCAAGCTCGCGCAGAAGAACCAAGGAATCTTGGCCTCAATCCCCACCCCTGCCCGTTTCAATCGGGATGGACATCGTACCAGCGTGCGGCCTTTTATCAGTACAGGTTGACGCATGTCAAAGGCGTGCGCAAGCTAGCGTCGGTACTGGACTGGCTAAATTTTTTTGTCTGCATCAGAGACGCCAGACGTACATTGGGGCTAACTGAAGCCACGTTCCCACCGCTAAACTCCATCCATCATTAAGTTGAGTCTACCATAGCTACAAGCGCGGGCTGTAGCCCTCGCTCCTGGCTGTCGAGAGGTGCCCTTTTAGCGCGAGCGCTCGTTCTGTGGAAGAACGTTTCAAAGCCGCCACCCCATGCTCTCGTGCTTGTGGCATTGGTTACAATCTCAGCTTAAAGTTTGAGCGGAGAGTTACAACATCGCACACATGACCGTCTACAGACACTCTCTGAGGCATGTTTCTTCCATAAACGACCCTCCTGTGACATTCGCCACACAAAAAGTGTCTGCAAGCTTACATGAAAGAAACATGCTTGGAACATGCTTGAGGCGCGGGTACTTGACTCATGATGGCTGCAGCTACGGTGCCTGGAGCACGTCTTCGACTGATGTGTTTAGCGTTTTATATGCTGCCGATTCATCAAAATTGATCTGGAAGTGGCGACAAATGACGTCAGAAAAGCCGAAGTGTCATGCTGTTTCATGTCGCGATCCTGGTCGTAGAACTGCTAACAAGAAGCTACGAGTAGCACGAGCCAACGCGTGTGTCGCTGTCGTCTCGGCGTCCCAACCTCCGACTGCCGAAGCTTCCGTGGACTGTCATACCAATGAGCGACCTGCAGCGGAACAGGCGTCTGCCACATACACTACAGCTGCGGAGACACCGCCAGGATCGCGACCGGCGACAGCGTGACACTTCTATGACGTCACCAGGCGGAAATGGAGGAACCATCTTTTTGGACGTGGTAAACACACTAGTCGGAGACGCGTTCCAGGCACCATACTGCAGCAAACACCCTGTCTTTCGAGCGATCATAGCCTCCTCTATACTCACACAGCCTTTCTTCGACGACGGAACGACTCTATACTCACAAAGCCTGGCAGTTCAACGACGGGGCCATAGAGTGCCAGATCGTAGATTTCAAGCGCCAGGATCCGGCAGCACAGAGCATCAAAGAGCCATTTCTCGGGGAACCTGGAAGTCAGCGCACAGCTTTTGCAGCGGCGAGGACCCGAAACACACCTGTTCGCTCGGGAGAAGTGTGTTTCGGCGCCTCGCCACAGTGGGGCGCCCGTCACGTGGCTCTCCCCTCATCCGTTGTCTGCCGCTCTACCTTTTCGATTTCGGAGGCCGCTTCTCGTGGCGATCTGCCAGGCTTTGTCAGTATAGAAGAGGCTATGGTACGATGCATGAGCACTGTGACTGCGGCTAAACTCCCCGCCGTCTAAACGTGGGCGCAATGTAATTGCCGCTTCTTTTGCTTTTTCTGTTCTCGTCCTTTTAGGAGCTCCCGTGTCAGAAAAGATGGCGCAGAGCGCGTACCACGCGGCGGCCCTGGGCTGCTCCCCCCTGGACCCGCAAGCGCTGGGGATGCTCGGCCTGGGGGGCCACGGAGCCGGCAATTCGGCGGCCGCGGCGGCGGCGGCCGCGGCCTACCAGCGACACCTGCTGTCCGGCGGGCTGGCCCTGCCCCTGGCGTCCATCGCCCACCTGGGACGAGGACAGGAAAGGCTCCTCAGGCAACAGGCGGCCGGGATGGACCTCTGCAATCCCAGGTGGGCGTCCTCCCGCCGGACCACGTTGTACGGCGATTGGCCGTTATCGGGGATCTTCGCTCGGCTGTGCACTTTTGTGTCCGTCCTGTTCCGCTGAATCCAGCGAGAAAATTTCTCAGCCATATTTAGCGGGAATTTAGCCTCGCGTAACGTCCCAGTGTTACGTGACTACTTCTAGTGGTATTCATATTTCGCGTGATCACGTCTTATGATGTCCCCGTATCACCTCGACGCTGTGTTACTTCGGAAAAACGTTTATTCTAAAGATTTAGCGGGAATTGAGTGCCACGTGACCCTGATATATCACGTGACCAAGTAATGAAAGGTAGGGAGGTCACGTGACGTCGCTATCATGTGACCGCGTGATGTGACGTCACAGTAAGGCGTGTCCTCACAATCTCACGTGACTTCACAATGTCGCATCAACGCGTCTGCTAAGCTCAGCGAGACCTAAGTCCGTTAAATTTTAACAGTGCGGTGTCACTGTGCAGCAGAGAAGAGTGCGCAGCACCTCGGCCGGCAATCGCCAGAGGGCGCGGTAGCGAACCGGCATTTGTTTTCAGCGGAACAGGTACCACCAACCTTAGACTCTAAAAAACGCCTGCGCGTCTACTTACCCGCAAAACACTCGTAGAGCTGATCTCTGTGATCTACGAAATCAGCTCAGCGAATGGTGAGGCGGAGCATTTGTTTAGACCTCAAAATGAAGTCTGCGCTGTGGCATTACGCAATGCAAGCATGAAGCTTTGCACTGCGTACTGTCACAGCGCAGACTTTATTTTTAGGTCTAAACAGATGTTCCGCCTCATTATTCGCTGAGCTGATTTCGGAGATTGTAGCGACTGGCTCTTCGAGTGTTTTTGCGGGTAAGTATAGACCCGCAGGCATTTCGTAGAGGGTGTAATGCCTCTGTCCCGAAAGTTAAAAAACAACAACAACAAAAACAAACAATCTTTTGTGTTTACGATTTCACTCGTCTTCGTCGCCTGGAAGCGGAGGAGCTCCAATGAAAGAAATTGTCTTCTATTTTCTTGATATCTCTCAACTTACCTACCGAAACAAGCTGTAAACGAGCTAAAAGGGCGTGAGCATGCTAAAGGGTGGTCCGGATACCGTATTTACTCGAGTAAGAGAAGCACTGTTTATGAAGAAAACCTGAGCGTTCACTTTTCCGCGGAGCACGCAGATTGCCATTCATCGCGATCGACATTATGATTCCATGGATTTACAGGACAGGCATAACGTCTTCGCGCGAAGATACATCTGTGAAGATTGCATTTGTATGGAGAGTCGTGTTCTCGATCTGGTGATTCGCTATGTTTTATATGCGCAACGCGATGATTGGTGCATATGTGTTTTGCGGGAGAGTAGACGCAAGGACCTTGTTCATAAATCGTGCGGCTATTACTCCAGTAAACACCGTATATAGGGTGTTATAATTCCGATGCTGGCTTTAAAATTGGCCAGATAACTGGAATCCTTCGCGGTACCAATCTCAAGTTTTCACCCAAAGGTGTGTTATAGTAGTGCAATTTACTCGATGAAATTTTAAGGCGTAGCTTTTTTTTTTTCTGAAAAATGAGAGCATGGAGCATGACAGGTTTAACGGCGGACGTTGACATAGACGGCTTGACCGAGCTGGAGCTATGGCTTGAAATGTCACTAGATAATATACGTCACTAAACTGCACCATTCATAAATATTTGAGACTGGCACACTCCGTTTTAAATTTTTCCAAAAGATTCTAGATCTAGGCTCTGGTCTTCTGTGATTTAATATATACAACATAAAAGCTTTTACATTTCCGGTTTACTGTCAAAACAAACAACCTGTCAACAAAATGCCAAAAAAAAATTGAAATTTTTCAAAATTTTTAATGTTAAAGGGCCCTAAATTTCCTCGAATTTCGCGACTTGTAATATTCGAGAAATTTAGCGGGCGCGAAAATTTCTATTGTTTGTAGAGGCGAATTCCAGCCTCTAGAATTCGTGAAATTGGACGGCCGCGAATATGACACCGCTGTCCCCTTCGCACGAAAAATCGGGACCGCGGTAATAAAGGGTTTTACGGCAATCTTCGCAAAGAGCTTGGACCATCATGATTGTAATCTTGACATATTGTATAAAACTCAGATGTATGACCCAATTTGATAATGATTTACTTATTCCTCATGGTTACGGTGCATTTTACATTATAGACAATTCTAAGATATTAGTAGACCCTTTTCCAAAAGTCTGCGCCATCACCTGTCCGCCATTGCTCGGTCAAGTACTCTGAGCATGTATTGGACACGTGGGTTGAGTCAGAACTCGGCGTGAACTCGGCTCAGCACGTATCGAAAAACGAGTGTGACGTCAGCATTCGGCGAGGACTCGGATCCAATCACACACGACGTGTCGAAGCAATGGCGGCCGCCATTGTTGCTTGATGAACTTTTGAAAATGGTAAATTTCAGTCGAACTAACATTGAATACATTCCGTTCAAAGTACAGGGTGTCACAAAAGAATATTTACACGGTCTTTTTTACCGCAAAAATTAACTAGGCATCGCCGAACGCTCATTTTCCGCGCAAAGGTAGAGCTAGAGGTCACAACCAGGTGCCAAAGTTTCAGCCCGATCCGATAACTTGATCAAAAGTTATAAATGATTTTCTGAAAATTTCAATGGGAAAATGGAGCCCATTTTCGCCCGTTTTCGGTTTCTGGTGCCATAGAACCCCATGTGTTTGGAAACTCCGTCGGCCGCCATTTTCACATTGAAATTTTCAGAAAATCACTTATAACTTTTGATTAAGTTATCGGATCGGGTGAAACTTTGGCGTCTGGTTGTGACCTCTGGCACTACCTTTGGGCGGAGAATGAGCGTTCGGCGATGCCTAGTTCATTTTTGCGGTAAAAAAGACAATGTAAATTTTCTTTTGTGACACCCTGTACAGTCATTTTACCTCACTTCTATTCCATCGTACTTCGCTGCAAAGCAAACCGCAGCAAATAAAGAATTCAATCGCGAATTCCCGTATGGCACCCTGACCGTCTAACCAGATGCACCATAAGAATATTTTGGTTCTATGATAGCGATCCCAGATGATGGTGATAATGATGGGAACGAAGTTATCTAGAACGGAAGGAACCTTCGAAACTGTTGTTATTTAACCATCTACTACATGATATATTTGAGACGAACAGCGTAGGACTACGTGATTTTTATAAACTCTGCAGTATAACCGGGAGCATAAACTAAAGGATTCATAATGGTTGAGAAGGAAACGCACGGATACTTTGAACCCATCGCTGATCCCGCGAACAGACCGCCCCGCCAAAGGCCCATCTGGGAACCTGTCAGCAGAACCGCGGCATCGTTCATTTTCGCCCGCCGCAAACTCGAGAGAGCCTCGGCCGCCAGGCTCTGCTTTTACGCGTACAGGCCAAAGCCACAGGTGCATCTCTAATTTGAACTTCGCTAGAAGCGCAATCACCCCATTTACCCCCGCCTCACTCTTAAAAGAAAAAGAGAAAAAAAAAAGACCTCGGTGGTAGCTTGTCTGGCTCATCTACTTTTGCCGACACTCCTTTTTTTTTGTTTTTATTCAGATTCAAGGTCTAGGATAGCAAGGCAAAAGGCAGATTTGCTCTGCCTGACGAAGCCTTGTGACACGCTTACGTTGCTTAGTGGGCAACAACAAAGAAACTTCATAAAAAAGCAAAAAAGGCAGAAAAAGATTTACAAAAATACGCACTCTATTATATAGAATCGCTATTTAAATAGTTGCACATAATTATTGCAAAACTAAAACAAGAAGTACAGCCTTGAAACCAAAAAGACAGCATAAATGACATGGTATATTATTTATTTATTTCATGGGACATGGTACAACGTACCCCTCGGACAATACGATCCGAAACACCTACCTGGGCTTCTGTGTCTGCGGTCTCCACAAACTCTCGTAACCCCACAAACTCTCGTACCTCTTGTATCTCGCAAGAGTCCGAAGAATGGGACTTCAACTTGGCATTACGTTCCAAGTTCAGACCACAGCTTTCTCAAAATATGGCTGGTGCGCCAAAAAAAGCCCGAACAACTTTTTCAGCTTGTATCCAACGCGATGGTACCTTTTCAAGTTGTTTCTACAACTGTGCCATAAGTCACAATCCTGCATAATTTCTAAAACGACTGAAAGTATGTTTAAAAAATCATGCATTATGTATGCCAATTTTACCTCGCTTTAAACTTCGAGGGATGGGCTTACCCTAGATTGAATGACCTTTACTTCTCAACATAATTTAAAGTCAGCTTGCAAGGTATTATTGTGGATCATGAGAGAATTTTTTCATGGCGAAAACTCAACTTTCCCGCCTAAAGTGGCATAGAAAACCTAAAATTGCAATTGTGCGTAGCCTTTTTTTCTATTAAAACGTTTTTCAATAGTGAGATACGCCATTTTTTCTGTGATACATCTTGGGAAAGGAGCGCAACGAGAAGTGTGGACGTGTATTTAAAAGGAAGAGAGTCACGAAAGACAGACGTGATTGTAATTTCGTGTTTTCTAGGATGGCTGGGGGGCGTATAACGATATCACCATAAAAAAAAAGAATAAGGTGATATCAGCTCTACTTTTGCGCAGATCTAAGACGAGAAGAAAGGGACGATAGCCAACAGCGTTCGATCGTGTTGATTTTATTTTTTATTGTGTAGAAAATCTCTCTCGTACTGCGTTCATGTGGGACTATAAGCCGTTCCATCATAAGTGCTAGCGTGCGAAAATCTAGAATAGCAAGCGTATGACTTAGGGCCCATCTAAGAAGGGGCGCTGGCGAAGTGAAAGCGTCAATAAAGAAAGACATGATCGCGCTTGTACCATTGGCTTCGTCGCACTTTTAAAGAAACAGAGTTTAGAACTTGTTGTTTAAAAAGAAAAGCGATCCTTGCAGAAATTTTGGACGAGTCGACGCAATGCATTATACCTTTAGGAATGCTATATCATAAGTGTGAAAAATTCAATTTTAAGGTCAAATTTTCATGTTCGGTGATTTGCCTCAGTATTGGTTCGATACATTAATAAACACATTTGAGCAAGTAACCAAAAATTACAAGTTAAAATAATGTTTTCTTTGAAGTGATTGGAGTTCCAAATTTGGCCTGAAATGCTGAGAGGTTCTCCTGGAAAGATCAAGAACCCAACGTCAGCTTTTGTAATCTAGGTCACTATGGTGGCAGTAGAGTTTAGGAGAAGACAGAAATATTGAGGAGTTGAAATCAAAGACATTAAACTCACGCGATCAAAAAAAGAAATTGAGAAAATATTTTTTTTTTGTTTAATTGAATGTTCGATTTGCAAGCTATACAACACGGGACTTAACCCCACTTGAAAGCGCGGGAAAATATTAATGTAGGCATTGGCGTAACTTTAATTTACCATTTTCTCGATAGCGGTTTTAAAGTAAGAAATGATAAATATAATGCAGGAAAGAGTAAAGCAATGATATTCTGAAAATGTGTTCAGTTTAAATGACTCGAAAAAAAAAAAAAAAACTGCCGCAGCTCTTTTTAAAAAAAGTTGGAGACTGCATTTACCATGACGTGATCTGTCATTTTCTGCCCTTAAACAAAAAACAAGACGTCGCCGCTTGATGAACGGTTCGCGGAAAGAAAAAAGTACGTACTTTTACGGCATTTGCGAACGTCAGAGAGTCTATGGAAGTGATTTTAGAGTCCAAAAAATTGGACTTTCCGTCCCTTTGGCGGAATATTATAACCGTCGCTGTTCGCATTTATTTTTCTTTGTTGCAGAAACAGTGACGACTCCTGCGAGAAAGACAAGTCACGCAACCCCGACCCAAACGGCAAGTCCAAAAGTCCCGGATGTAAGTTTCTCGTGAAGCATAATTAGGGTCGTCTAAAGTTCATACGCGCACACCGGCATCATGATACACTGGACACTCTTTAAGTGGGAGATTTTATTATAGTTATCTCTGAGAAACAGCAACAAACAACCACATACAACGCCATTTTTGTATGTTTGCAGAATAAAGTTTGGACTCACATTAAAAAGAAAAAAAAAATGTGGCTTCGGCGTGCCCATATTTGAGTCCATGTAACTGAGACTTCGGTTCACTTGACCGTTAAATATACTTGATGTGTCGATTTGAATCTCAAGCTTTCCACTCGAGCCAGAATTGTACGTAACGCGTTACAAGTGACGCGCTACATCTATTTGGACACCCTTTTTGGTAACAAAGTACTTACTATCCAAGAGAAGAAACGAGTAGGGTATTTTCGTTATTTTGTGATAGAGTAACGATTAACAATATTTGATTACTTCTGGAGAAGAATGCGTAAAACCTAAATTACACTATTTGGTCTTTACCCCAGCTCGCGCCTTCGACTTTTACTGCAAAATAGCGCCAACAAGTAAATAAACAATTGCGCATGAATCTGCTAAATAGCTATCCTCGTTGTCACATAAAAAATAAGAAATAAACGGTTTCGCATATTATTTAGGCGCTGCGCGAAGCAGTTCTTGCAATATTTGGTTGTGGCCGAAATGAACGACTATTTTGGCGCCTAAACCGTGTGCGTCTTGATAAAATAGCATGAAGCTAATCTAATACTTCACATACATATATATTTTGGATATTAATCCAAAAGACGGAAGGGGAATTTAGTCTCATTTTGCGAGGAGCCGGACTTTTCTTCCTTTGGGTCTTGAGGTGCATGCGACTATAGGTGTCATTAACGATACAAAATATCGGAACGCGGCTACACTGCTGTCGAAAAACAACACACTGTTCAAAGTAACTAAATGGTAACTCCTTCTTTTTGTGGTAAAGTGAAGTGTTTCTTTCGAGTCTAAGCAACGAGTTACGTACTTATAGTTACTCTCTGAGCGGGTAGCGAGTAGTATCAGTATTTAGTAAATGCTTTTCAGTAATGTGTACATGATTGAGTGTCCTGGATGCCCTTCTTTGGTTGCGTGCACGGTATCACAAATTATAGTTTATATAGATTTGGGGAAAGTACACAGTAGAACGATCCAAAAACTGAACAATAAACAGTGTTCACTGCCGGCTGTAACTAAAGGATGCATGTCACAGACAAGCGCATCATGCTGTAAGAACGAGCTAGCTATGTTCAAACGAAGCACGAATGCAGCGTCAATTAATAGAGATTGAACCCCAAAACAGCATGAGACGTCTTTATTTTTTAAGAAAAACAGTTTTTTCCTTCTTTTTATTTGAACTTTCCGTTTTTAGCAGAACTTGCAGCCATTCGATGCTCTCGAGGGGACCGATTTGAGTCAAAGTGGGAGCGAGAGCGTTCCCGACTGCTGGTTGGTCGCAGCGGAATAGCATGCGTGCAATCAACCAAATGTAACATTTTTTACATGTTCGCGAGTTCAAAATCATGCAACAATTTGGCAAGAACATCTCACCAACTCCCAAATGGTGAGAAAAGTCTCGTGGTCCCTGGTGTGCTTGTCTTTAGTCCTCCTTCGTCCACCGGTTTACGTCAGCTTGTGTACGCAAGCAGAACAACTTGAGATTTTCGAACGAAGCGCTGGTTGTCAATGGCTTCCAACGGGAGCTAGTAGACGACCCAAATTTCGGCCCATGTCCGATCCCTCTTCGCCGCGGCGCTCGGCTCGTAGCAGTTGGTCAAATTTGTCCCCGGTTTATTAGCAGACGACGTATGTATATGGTGCCTGCAGCGCATCTCCGTCTGCTGTGTTTAGCGTCCTATGCTGCCCATATATCCAAAGCGTTCCCGAGGTGGCAATAAACGATGTCGCAAAGGTCGGAGTGTCATGTTAGAGAGAGGGCGCTGCCTCAACTACAGGTCTTGGCGTAGCGGAACTTCGTCTGCTTTTTGCACAGGGGTTGCGATGATGTCAGAACGGCGAACTCTTATTGGCTGATTGAAAAAAAAATATATATATTGGATAGACCGGCCCACACCCACGATGGCCTCTGTTTCTCCTTCTTCATCGCCAACACACACAGAGACCTCAAGACGTCTAGCATTAAGGTGTACCCACACTCCTTTCAATCAAAGCGAATCAGAGCTCGTCGTCGTTCTGACGTCACCGCAACTCCTGCGCAAGAAGCAGACGACTCGTTCACCGCATTATACCCAATACAGATTCCAAACTGCGTCTGGAATTAGTATATTACATTTCTGATAAAACGTCACTTCCACGACGTCTCAGGGCCTCCGGGAGACGCCGAAACCGGCTCGGCGCTCAACCTCTCCCAGAACGGCAGCGGAACCCGAGCGAGAGACGTGGACGTCTTTCGGACAAGGGACGACGACGACGGACAGGGCGAGTCAGACTACGCGGAAGACAGGGACCAGGGTGCGTCCACTTGTCTTCATTTCTGTCCACACAGGTTACTCGCGACAGCCGACACCACCTATACAGTTGGGGGAAGCTTAAGAAAGAGAATATCTGGCGAGTCCGGGTGGAGGAGTCCGCTTATCGTTCGGGAGACAACGATGATGCGGAATTAACCGATGAAAACGGCGACGAACGGATCGACAAACAAGAATCGTCTTCTTTGTGCGTCTGCAATCCCCGCCTAAGACAATCACACTTAGAAAACAGGCAGGATCACGACGCATTTACTTTTGCGTGATTTGCTTAGCCGGTAATGGCTAACGGACAAAAGCAACGAGCTTCATCGGTTCGTAGCGTCGGCTGCGGATAAACTAAGTGTTACTATTGTCCGTTTCTTTATTCAGACGCATGGTCTTGGAACAACGGAGCGAAAATCAGACACGCTCTGCCTGACGTGGCCCGGTTAGCCGTTTACATTTCACAGCGTGAAACGGAGTATAGCATTTAGTCGTTTATTTTCCAAACACTTTATCACTATTCTTGTTATGCATGTACCAACTGGGCCATCGCTCCGTCTTTCCGCTCTCGTGGTACTAGTGGCACCGAAAGGCGGTGTTTTTTTTCTTTTTTGCTTTTTTACCGCTTTAAGACAGCAGAAACGTGACAGGACAAGCGATACTGTAATGCGAAGAGTGGCATCGCGGTCTTGTTAATGCCGGACGCCCATAGCCGATTGTTCACTCCCGGGACCTTCCCCGCGGCTTTCGAGAAGCCACGGGCTGACGCTTTCCTCGCGCGTCCGATCGTGCAGGCGACCTCAGTGAGGACTCCGAAGCGAGCACGTCGAGCACGGGCGGTGGAGACCCCAAGCGCCACCGCGCCCCGTCGCAGGACGGCGACAGCCAGTTGCAGCAGTTCATGGACCGCACGGGTCTTCTGGCGGCCAGAGGCTCCGTCGAGACGCTTCTGCAGAACATCCTCGGGCTCCTCAAGGTGGCCGAGGAAAACGCCAGGCAGCAGGAACAACAGGTCCACATGGAGAGAGGTGCGTTCTCTTCTCCCCTCCCTATAAGCCTTTTTTGTTTTCGTTTTTCTTTTGTTTAGGGATTCGCATCGATTGAAAATTTTAACCCAATTAACTGCCACCCTTTAATCGATTGATTAGTCGATTAATCCGCCGCGTTCATTTCCATACATAACATTTTGAAAACGTCAAATTTCGTGTCCTTTTTTTTAATATGTGATATGCGGCGCAATATACGATTTCGATGGTGATTCAATCTCGATGTGGGCTGGAGAACGGTTCAAAACACTCACGCTCATAGATTTTTACTTCAGCTGCATGAGGCAAAGGAGCTCCTTGATATTCTCTGGCAAGAGGGACCTCATTTGATTTATACATGATGGAGAACACAGCTGAGAAAACGCGAACGATGGAGAACAGACACGACAGCAAAATGCTGCACTCACAACTGAAGAATTTTAATGGAGGAGACAGAGACAAAATGAAAAAGAACACGGTATCTTAAAGATAGTGTGAACGTGTAGAAATTTAGATTACTGACACGAACGCTTCACGATTGGTGAGTGTGTAATTTTGTGCAATCTTTTAAGATTCCACGGCGCAAACACGGCGCAATCTTTTAAAGTGACACCGTGTTTTCCTTTCGTATTCTGCTCTGTCCCTGCGCTGTGTTTTACCCGTTAGGTTAATCGATAAACTACCCAGTACTAATTTTTTTTAAGAAGTATACGAAGCCTCTGCTTGTATTCTGCCATTGCACTATTTGGTTCGAACATAACGCGAATGGCGGTGCGTGTGGCTTTCGTCGAACGCTCCGCTACCTGGAGGCCCGTGGGAATTGATGAAATTAAGACAGTGGGCTGCAGAGCAGGATGTCAGGCTCTGCCCATTGGAGTAAGCCTGGTACACCGGCCGGCAATATGAAGGTGAACACCTTACCTGGTGTCTTGCCTGTTTTACGGCTCCCTAAAGCTATATTAACTCTCAACGTCTCACATGGTACGTGACTTGGGGTCTAAACTTTACTTTCTAGCCCTCTTCTTGAGCAGAGCTTGTTCCAAAACTTGCAGGAGCGTCAAAAACAAGAAGAGGGCTGTTTACCTTCATATCGCTCATGGGTGTACATCCTCGCAGCCTCCTTCTCCACTCCGCAGTTGTTTCTCTTCCCAGAAATCTCCAGGTAGCGAAACGTGCGTTGAAGGCTGCGCGTTCCGACGTACGCGTTTAATTCGGACCGGATTCTAGATGTGGCGACCATAGGGTCGTTTTCTTCTGATTCTGCAGTACCTTCGTTACTCGTAAAAGCTGAGTTTCAGATTTTCATTTCCGTAACGAGAAACAGAGGAAGATGAAGAGATGAGAACTCGCAGAGACACCCCAGAGCGCCGGGCTTTGATTGCTGAATCGGTACTACCTAATAGTCAAAACCTGCGCATCGCCGGACTGCCGCCTACCCCGGCGTCAGCATAGTCGACACCGAGTCTTGCAGCGTCTCACACGTTATCACGCGGAGACGCCAAAAGCAACACCTCTGCCGCTTTGCGACGACTCACGTCAAGCTTCAATGTGTTTGCCCGCTTAAGGCACGAATCGGGGATTCACTAACGATGACCTTAATGAAGACGCGTTGTAGTCTAGGTGGCATCGGCCGAATCATAGCCTCCTCTATAATCACAAGGCTTGACAGTTCGACGACGGAGCCATAGAGTGTCCGGTCGCACTTTTGGAGCGCGAGGATCTGGTTGCACAGAGCATCAAAGAGCCATTTCTCGGGGAACCTGGACGTCAGCGAACAGATTTTGCAGCAGCGAGGATCCGAAACAGACTTGTTCGCTCGGGAGAAGTGTGTTTCGGCGTCTCGCCGCAGCGGGGCGCCAGTCACGTGGCTCTCCGCTCATCCATTGTGTGCCGCTCCACCTTTTTCATTTCGGCGGCTGCTTCTTGGCGCGTTCTGCCAGGCTTTGTCAGTAAATAGGAGGCTATGGCCGAAATCACTTACAGAACGCGTTCGAACAGTTAGTAGCAACAAATTCGGCTAGCCTTGCGTCTAATAACTAATCATTCCAACCAGAGCTCGGTGATCTTACATCCCCTTGCGCTCTCATCACCTAACCTCTCCCTCAGCTTCTATTTGTATTGCTGACTGACTCTGGCGTTCTTTTTTTTATCTTTCTCCTTGTTTTCCAGCGGAGCTGAAAGTGGAGATCCTTCGCGAGCGAGAACTGCGGGAGGGCCTCGAGAAGAAGCTTCAGGAAGAGCAGAACAAGAGAGGTAGGTGTCCGAGAGTTGTCTTCGGCGGGGGACACAAATCTCCTCATTTCATTTCCGCTGATTACGGTTTGTTGTATAGTTACTAACATAACGAAATCTGCAGGGCGTGTCTTTCAAACGAGCACGCGTTCTATCCTTCCGCCGTGCTTTGACTACGTTCGAGCGCACTCAAGATGCACGAGACACAGAGGCATTGTCGAAGACAGAAAGCTCGCACAAGAGGCGCGACAACTGAAGCTCTTTCCTGCTGTTCTCACATTGGCATTGATAATACACTTTTGTAAACGCGACTTGACAGTTTAAAATAGTGTCTGATGAAAAAACAAGAATTATAGACGTTTTGCATACGCTCCAGATTACAGCCGCCATTGGTGAACTTCTCTTGCCTTACCGCGATGCCGAGTCACTGAAGCGGCAATTGACGAGCCTCCAAAAAGTCCTCTGCTAGGGAGAAGAGCACAGTAGAATTTAAAAGGGCAATAACGTGTCCTGCTGTGGTAATGATGAACTAAAGGGAATGGAATAAAAGGAAACAAAAACTATGCTTATTATGGCGTCGCCCAAGCACAGCAGCTGCAAAGCGTCTTCACTCTACGTCAACTATTTTGTGCCACCTTGTCAAGGCTCGTAGACTCCATAGATCTGCAATGCTGCCAGTACTTTAGTCAAGGCTACTTGCACAAACCAGTGGCTTTGCTTGGCACCTCCTGCGCATGAGAGTGCGTGCAAATAATACGCAAAAGACGCTCTGGCTTCAGTTCGGGAGCTTCAGCGCTGTCAAAGCTACCTGAACCCGTACAACCAGCACTAAACAGTTGATGTCGAATATACGAGTGTGCATTGAGGCCTAACCACATTTTATGCTGAAAACCCGTCTTGTCAGGTAATATGTCCACTAGAGCATAAAAAGAGTTGGCATTGTGAGATAAACCATTGGAAATTGGGCTTGACTGTGAGGGCTTTGTTTTACCGGCAGAGTGACAAGCGGAACACACTGTTCGCCGTCATTTCAAATAAGCCTTATCAATAGCAATATTTCACGCTTTGGCGTCAGCACCTGGAAAGAAACAAAACATCTTAAGGCTGAACTTCATGGAGCGAATTATGCGACGAATAACTGACGAACGTCGCCTGACGGCACGCTCGCTTTGCGCTCGACGTAGCAGCCACTGTGCTGATGCCACGCGCAGAGCAAAAGCCGCCGGACAATATTCGTCGATTTTTCGCAGCATATTCGTCCCATGGGGTTCAGCTTACACTGCATTTGATATTAAATACGACCGGAACTGACGCTACAACCCGATGGGGAAACTTACGCGCTCACTGGTTTAGTCACCTGACCAGCCACGTGGGTTTGGTATCTGGTATGCGGGACCAAAAATAATAAAACATTTCAACCCGGAATATGCGATAGAAAAATTATGCGTGAGGCAAAACAAGACTGCATGACAATTACAAATTTTTTGTGAATACTTCCAACGACGTGTAGAGATCAAAACGATGTTTTAACCTACCAGAAGTGACGACATTCAAGAAGGCTGCACCCATGTGGAAAAGATGTATATACTTTGTTCAGAAATTACCCACAAACCAAATTATTGCAAATTCAGCAGCCACAAACAATTAGTGCACCCGATGTGCGGATCCTAAACGTCGACCACGAACTTAGTAATTAGGTGTGTGATGAATGCATTGTCTGCGATCACTTAAAGGAATGCTGAACCGAAATCTGAATTCCACAAAACAGCTAAGCAGATGAAGAGAAAGATTAGAACGAATGAATTACAATCTGAGTTGTGAGTTGGCGCTTTGTTCGTCTTTTGTGTATCGCCCCTTGTTCTTTGTGCGATAATTTGTATACGAATAGCGTGCAACCTAAAACCTCGTACGCAAGAAGTGGTGACGCCCAATGCAGCTTGGTAGCGTCTTGAAAAGAGCTTATTCAGGTGTATAACTCAAATAAGCTAAAAACAATGTTACGGTATATTCTTTAAGTTTCCAATCAGAATATAATTTTAATACCGTGTGCAGACAAGGGCAGATGTTTGAAAGTCATCGCGTCTAGTAAGGCTGACTGGTTCTTCTGGTGCAGTGTTCTACCAGAAGCGGCTGCGTCGTGAGAAACGCTGCCGGCGGCAAGTTCAGGACCAGCTCGAAGGGGAAGTCAAGAAGAGAGTACGCTACGAAGAGGCGCTCCGCACCACGCTTGCCGAGTCTCAAATTCCCAAAGGTGAGTGCTCCAGTCCTTTCCATTAAGAAACAAGCTCATTAGACTTTGAACGTCTGGACAGCAATACATAAGTCTCCCATTGACAGTCGGCGACACTGACTCACGCCGAAGATGAAGAATTTGGTAGCCAGTGCAGCAATGCTGTTAGAGACGTATCGAGGGTTGTTCACACAGGACACAATTGCTGTTGTGCAAAACCTTGGACAACCCACCACAAAAGCGGAGGACTTCTTTCGCTTCCTGTCCGCTTTGGGATGTAGTTTTTTTGCCGGGGGGAAGGTCACCCTCCGATAGCGTCCTTCGAGAAAGTTCTGGAGCGTGCTCATGACGTAGTTCAGGACGTAGTCACTCACACAGTCTGCTGGTTATGTCAACGCCTCTGCTTTTGCTGTCAAACCAAATCTCCCAAAAAAGAAAAAAAAAGAAGGCTAGGAGGCGCAGTGATAAAGGCGGCCGTACTGTTTGCGTGGTTGACGTCTTCACTTGAAAGATGGGCGTGCTAGGCACGTGCCGGAACGTTCACGTTTTTTTGGAACCGCGCACGCGTCTTTTGCTGTGTGCAACAGAAAGCTTGTGCTTTCTCGATCGCCTTTCACACAGCGGAAAGTTGCAGGGAGTGGTAGTGGCAATTTGCTTGAGTTGAGGTATGGTAGAAGAAAATGAACGCTTAAGAAATTAGGGTGCGTGTTGTTTTTATGTTCATAAACGAAAATGTCGACAGAATGGTACTCGGTTCAAAACAAACAAGCCAGGTCATGTAATAGTTAGGTTATGTGCTTCCTTGGAACGGCGCAAGACGCGTTCTGCAGTGTGCGCTACTAGTAAAAAACAATGTCCTCCGATAATACAGTATAACACATGATAAAAAACAAAACTACGTTTACACCGAGGAGCACATTATGATTAGCTGTGACAGAATATTGACAACCAATACAACATAAATGGTGTATAGAACGATGCACCTTATCAAAATAAAAATAAATATATATTATATTATACATATATTTTAGTAGATGTTAGCGTTCCTATACAAAGGTCTAGAAATTACGTTAGAAACGAATGGCCTTTTTAATTCCTTTTTTTTCTTCAAATTGTTGCGCGTTTATTGTTAGATTTATTAAAAAGTAAAACTACAGGAGGATATTATGCACTGTGCTAGCTCAGCAAACTAATCTGGAACGGGCGAACTGTGTCTTATGTCAAGAGAGCGGTAGACTAGCATCAGCCGAAGATCTGATCCATGACGTAAAGCTCAGTGGAACTGCCCGAGCAGTGTAAATGGCTCAATCAATGCCGAAATCACTGCTAGACCGAAAAAAGCAGATAAATTTTGCCTGCGAGGCGAAGTGCGCTTTTCTCGTCATTCAGTAGAAACATCAAGTGTTTGCTGATTGAATCATCCAGTCACTGGCTGTCTCGGCAGTTACCTATGCATCTTCTTACAAAAAAATGTCGAAAAGCAGATATTGGTTGGCCGGCAAAGTTACTGCGATGTTCACAGTTGAGTGAATGGCCTCCTTTGTTTGAGCTGCTCCAGCGAGCACAACCACTTGGAGCAGTTCTTCGGCCGCCGACAGGATAGCGCTTCCCCGAGAAAAGACACCGCTCGCATGTTCTAGACAAGTTTTGTGAGCACCGCGCATTATTCAGCAATGATGCTGTGTCTGCTCAGCAGTCTCAATTGAACGTGTGATGAATGTCACAACCTTACACGTGGCTTTACGCCCTCCTCTTCACAGAGACATTACAAGAAGAGATCAAGAGCGAAGACGCTGTCGCCATGGAGTCAGATAACAGCATTAAAAGTATGTCCCCTTCACCGCAAGCGTACGGACACTGGTCCCACAACGCCAATGGCTTCCCACTATCGCCACTGACAGGTTGAGAACGGTAGGGAGGAGTTTCAGTTGTCCCACATCCTGCGAGAGCGTCTCGTATACGATAAGGCTTTGGCGTCCCGTACGATTCGAGCATGCACACGCATCTAAAGTGCGAACATAGACAAGGAGCGCGTGATAAAAACCGGACTCTCGAAAGAGATGCCTCGTCGTTCTCATCCTGTCAACGACTATGCGGAGTGCAAGTTCGTCTGCTTCTTGTGCAGGGGTTGCTGTGACATCAGAACGCCAAGCTCTGATTTGCTCTGATTGAAAGGATAGTGGGTAGACTTCGATGCCAGCTTCTTTGAGGCCTACCTACTATCCTTCCAATCGGAGCAAATCAGAGTTCGGCGTTCTTACCTCCCCACAACACTTTCGCAAGCAGCAGACGAGCATGCGCTTTGCATAGGCTCTTTGTACGCGCCTGATTACAGTCACCATTGCTGATCTTCTCTTGCTTTACCGAGATGCCGAGCGACTGAAGTGGTAGTTCAAGAGCCCCTCAGAAGCTAATACTGGGAATAAGAACACAATAGAATCTAAAATGTAAATAACATTTCCTGCTGCCGTAATAAGTAAGTGAATAAAACGCAATTAAAGGAAACAAAAACTGAAGGTCAGTTATGGCGGCGCCCATGCACAGCGGCCTTAAAGCGTCTCTCTGTTTCAGGTCATAGAGGAAGCTCGTAATTATGGTAGGTGATTCATTGCACAAGCCATAGCGAGAGAGAGACATCCCACAAGGCAAAGAAGTTGAGCTTACCGCTGACGCCACGGTTTACGTTAAGCAAGATCAAAGTATACAAATTCTAAAAATGGCCTTCTGCGAGGTGCCATCTTTGTCCGGCGGGCTGCTGAACATGTTAGCTCTCTTCTGCTCAATTTTAGTTTCTTCTACGTATTAAAAATAACACTGATAATTGGTATTTGTATATTCCGCAGTACAACTATCAAGACACGTTTACTTAATGAGAGGTATACAACAAAATCGTGGTCAAACGTTGATAGAAACCGTGGCTAGTACCATCGTGTGAACGCAAAGGAAAGTGCTCTACTTGTTCTAATGGACTAACGTGTCTTCATTGCAGGTCGGTAGATATAATCTTGGAAGAATCCACCATCACCCAGACCAGCGCCGAGTCCTGAACGGCCATTGGTTGGAGGCAAAGCTCATCGAGCGCGGGGACGGCAAAAGACGTCTTCGAAGCGACGCCGACTGCCCCCGAGTCTACAACATATCGTCTGGACACATTGTGCATATCGAACGACCGCGAGGACACCTGGTGCGCGTCCGAAAAACGAGAGGTGGTGTGCCATTCGAAGCGCGCAGCACAGATCACGTCACAACGAGTTTGCTGGACCAAACAGAAGCGTATAGACGGACGTGTGTATGGCTCCCCCTGCTTTCACATCAGTGACTTGCCGTTTTTGAGTGTCGGCCATATCGCTTTCCGAAGCGAACGTGTTTTAGACACAAACTATCGTAAGGTAAATTTCTTGTTCAAGAATCACAACTGGGACACAGTGACGCACGTGTGGTCTCATCCCCGAGCAATCGAATGCTGGTCAATGTCAGTGTAAGGTGACATCTTAAGCGAAACGAAGATGACGGACAAGCGTGACGTGGTTTTCGGTGTTGCTTGACTGTATCACATCCGCGGCTATCCCTAGAAGGTTCAACTATACGTCTAAGCTTTGTGCTTAGAGAAGGAGAGAAAAAGGAAGAGGAAGCTGCTAGATTTAGCGAGTGAATAGGTATGTGAGGGAGTCCGCGATTTTGACGTGACGTCATTTCTGTTCGTCAGACATGACTTCGATAGTAAAAGTCGCATTGAGGAGGCGCCAATTCGCTGCTCTGGTTTGCCGGTGATAAAATGATATATCAAAGAGAAAAAGAAGGCGGTAAATACGTCACCTCTCTAACCTATTCTTAACGCGTGGACTGACACAACCTGAGGTCGGAATAGCACCGAAGATATACAATTAAAGCCTCCCCCCCCCCCCCCCGTCCCAAATCTGAAGGAATGTCTCCAACACTAAGAAGGATGCATGAGTAGAGTATTCACCTTTCTAAAATAATAGTGGAAAGGTACCATTTGATACAACGTCATATGACATGGTCACTGTCGATTTTTATTGGCGAAGAAGCATCAACAATAATGAGGTCAAGGTTAGAACCAGCAACCTGGAGAGTTTCTTTCATTGGGCCAGCTGAACAAAGCAATGAACCAACTGGCTCAGCATAAGCCCTTGACAACTTGGACAATTTTTGAGCGTACTTGAATAAAACAATCAATCATCATTGCAGTACCATATACCTACCGCCGCAACTCGTAGCACTTCGTGGGTGGTAATATACACTAGACGAGCACGCTTCAGCTGTTTTCGCGTCAAGTGACTTGAGAAAAAAATAAGCTAGTCTGACGCTTCAATCTTTGATATATATTTGCCGTGTAATTTATGTAATAATTGGGTGCCTTCAACGTACCATAAACATGACTCTAGCTTGAGGTCAGCTCTGTGGAAGAACTCGAAAGCAAGTTACATAAATGCGAGCCCACTAAGCCATAAAGAGCTCGATATTCATCAAGACATAAAAAAAAAAAAACATTTCTCAGTCAAAGAACCATTGACAAGAGTAGTTCAACGAAAAGGCAGAAACGTGTATCGTGTAAAACCAAAAACTAAAGCTTCCCTAAGCTGCTGGAAACTTAGGGCACTTCAGGGAGATTTGCTTGCGTTGTTAAGACAAGGTCGCCAGTTTTGAGGCACAATTTTATTTGCCCTCTGGAATGCCCCCTACTCAATGAACACAATTAATTTGTCCTTCTGACACGCATTCTGCTCTGGGGAGAAGGAGCGCCGTGAGAATGCCATAGTTATACAACTACAACCAATCCGGCTACAAAAAAAAAAAAAAAAAAAAAAAAAACGCAATAATACACACACGTACGAACACACACACACACGCGCACACACAAACACGCAGACGCACACACGCGGAGATAATGGGTTTCAGGTATCGATTAATGATCCCATAAGTTGCCGCTTCGCTTTAGAATAATTGCCGCAAGTCGTGAACTCTCTTTTAAAAAGAACATTTCGACCGTTCAGTTCTGGAGTGACAATTGATTACGCCCATTCATTACCACAGGCAGGGGGTCAACATTGGCGGCGTTTGTACATATTGTGTAGCACGCGTAGCGCGGCCATTGTAGCCGTCACAAAAACAAGAGCAACCTCACGGGAAGGTTCTTGTTTAACTGGAGCGACTGGCAACGTACATTGCACGCAGATATGTGGACTGTTGTCAAGGAGAGTCTGAGAAACACAAAGCGTGCTGAGACCCGAATGTACTAAAGTTTCACAGCCAATAAGATTGCGGCAAGAAATGTGAACATACAAAGCCATTCACTGTGTATCTTGTTCCTTAAGTTTTCACTGACTATACGTACACAGCGTTAGCAACCTCCTTCGACACCTGACCGTCACCCGCTGATCAGAAGAAAACATGTTTATGGAGGAAGGGTGCTGCGGAAGGCTGTGTTCAAATCACACACATACACACACACACACAAAGCTGATTTCATTCTGTCGCGGACAACAATCGACGCATGTCACGAGGGATTCGACAGATTTTTTAAACAAAGGCTGAATAGCTTCTTAGAAAAAACAAACAAGTTAGAGGTTACTTTGAGAGTACATTTATTCTGCGAATCTGAATATAACGTTTGTTTTTCCGAAGATGTAACTACGCCCGAGAAAACACGAAAAAAATTCCGACCAGCTGTTACGCCATAAAAAGACCTTTCGGCCGCCAAACTCCTGACGCTCGAGTGGGCAGCAAGTGCAATTGCAAGCTAAGCCGATATACTCATTTCCAAAAAATAAGAGGGAGGGTTCCTGGCCGGTTTAATTTTTAGTGCTCTTGCGTATGGCACGAAATTCGCTCGTTTTCCCAAGCGACAAACATGAGCGTGCTAGGCTGAGGAGATCGAGCACGCTGGGATGAGGACCTGTAAATATTGGAATGATGTATACTTCACCGCACTGACACCAGTCGTGACATCTTTTACTGATTTTGTTTTGACGAGAGCGAGAGTGCGCCTGCATATAGACTCTAAGAAATGCCTGCGCGTCTACTTATCCCCAAAACACTCGAAGAGCCAATCTATGCGACGTGCGAAATCAGCTCAGTGAATGATGAGGTGGAACACCTGTTTAGACCTTAAAATAAAGTCTGCGCTGTTGCATTACGCAATGCAAGCATGACGATTTGCATTGCGTAATGCCACAGCGCATACTTAATTTTGAGGTATAAACGGATAATCCGCCTCATCATTCGCTGAGTTGATTTCGTAGGTCGCAGAGATTGGCTCTTTGAATGTTTTGCGGGTAAGTAACGCGCAGGCATTCGTTAGTGTAGCTTTGATTTGCGCTGAAGATGCTCGAGAGTAGAGATTTTGAAAACTCCTTTTATGACGTAACGCTCCTGGAAGGAGGGGCATCAGCTTTACTTCAAAAATGATTTTCTGCATGCCTCCATGCAAAGAAATTGAAAATGAATCTCAAGATTCGTGACCCTGGAGGCAAAATAAAGATGATTTAGGTCTTTTTACTCAAATACAAAACCACTTCAGCTTCCCTTTAAGACACCAAGGACGAAACTTGATATGACCATGCTCCTTCTTCATGATTGATTCATCGACGTTCTTATCGGGAAGCGCCACAATATCAGTGACTGCAGAGCCATAATATGATTCGACAACTCGTACGCCATTCATTTCTTAACCTGGCAGTGATCATAGAGGACCTAGGCCATAAAGCCAACCCGACGATCTCTGTCTGCAATTGCCGAAGTTCTCCTCTCCTCCCTTTCTTCCTACACTTGCGACATCGCCGTTTTCTAGGATCGTTTCTAATTTATAGACACTTGGATCATCCTGGGTTTATCTACGGGTGCGCGTGTCTGTACAGAGGCATCATCGCGTTTAGTGTGCCATCCGTAGCCCAATGTTCTTTGTACTGCACTCGAAGTTTCGCAGATTCGCTGGGGGCCGACGGATTGAAAACCTGGTAATAAAAAAAAGCGAGGCGAACTTCACTTGACCGCCTGGTATGTGCCATTCCTCTCCAACCTCAAGACAGAACAGATACAGAAACTGAGGTAATGGAGGAGACAAGAGAGCAGGGGAAAGTCGAAACGGAGAGCTCTAGTTGGAATGATTAGTGAGTACACTCAAAGTTAGCTGCCTTTATCTCCACTGCGCTCGCCGAAAGCTTTCGAATGCAAAGCCAAACACCGGACGCGCGTTCCGCGTTCTATACAACCATAGCCTCCTCTACACTCACAAAACCTGGCAGTTCGACAACGGAGCCATAAAGCATCAAAGAACCATTTCTCGGGGAACCTAATCGTCAGGGCACAGCTTTTGCAGCGGCGAGGACTCGAAACACACTTGTTCGCTCGGGAGAAGTGTGTTTCGGCGTCTCGCCGCAGCGGGGCGGCAGTCATGTGGCTCTCCTCTCATCCGTTGTCTGCCACTCCACCTTTTCCGTTTCGGCGGCAGCTTCTTGTGGCGATATGCCAGGCTTTGTCAGTATATAGGAGGCTATGATACAACACGTCTCACGAGAAGAAAGAAAAGGGTGTGTGTATGTTTTACAGCCTAGAACTTACTCTTCCTCACCTGGCGACTTGCCTCCCAGCTGCAGATGAGTGTGGAAACAGCGGCTGTGTTCAAAATTTTACCCAAATGGATCCGAGTTACTCCGGCGGGTCGTGTCACGTGACAACAGAGATTATAAAATGTTGGACGCGGGTAGGTTTTAGAACGCCAAGATACAAAACCCGTACGCTGTAATAAGGGTGACTAAATTTTGGAACACGGTCAATACTTCGTTTCAGCTTAAGTCCAAAAGCAGCCGATGCTACAAGCGCGAGCAAATTGCCCTCGACAGTGCTTGGAGTGGACGAGCGCGCGTGCTTGGAGAAGGGCTGAATTTCCGGAGCTTGCTCTTTTAGCTTCTGCTGCGCTCAGAGTAAAAGTGAAACGAAGTAAAGCTTTGAGCCTACCTACGAATCATTCCGGTCAGAGCTTGGCATTCTGACGTCCCAGCGTGCTCTCGACCCCTCCTCTCCCTTA